TGGCCACGAAGCTCATGATTGAGTCCAGATTTTCGAAACAGGAGCTATCAAATGAAAAACCTGCGTTCACTTGCGGTACCTGGCCTATACACGTCATGGATATTGCAAGCCGTCTGTGTTGTGTTAATGCCCATACAGAATTTGTATTTAAAAATAACATTTTGTACTTAACAGAATTTGTACTTAAAAACAACACGATTTTAATTTTCCATGCCATGAAAGAAAAATCACACTGAGATAACTAATAAAAAAAAAAACAATTTTTAACAGAAACGTAATAGCTATATTATGAATTTAATTTGAATTCGTAATTCCAAGTCCAATACAAGTTGGGAATATTGGGAGGAAACCAATACTGGGCGGTTAAAAAACATATAGTGGTTTTTCAGATGTAATGAATATGAAGTCTATTTGTTGCCATTTTCATCATAAAATATGAATAAACAAATATATTCATATTATCTTCCAAAATACATTTTTATGGCAACATGAAAATTGTAACTCAATTTATAAAATCACATTATCTCGCGACAAGGAAAGTACCTATATCATGTCGTATCCAGCTATCGTAAACATTTTATAGGTAATCGTTAACACGTTCGGAAGTATTTAATCTAACGACCAATAATAAATTGTAGGGATCAAATTACACCATGAAGTGGTATAAAAAGGAAACTATAAAAGCTCTGCGACAATATGTCGACAGAGAGTAAAGGAAGATGATTTAATATATTAAAAATCTTTCTCTACATAGTAAAATCTTAGTCTTGAAAACCTATGATGAACCTAACATAAGATGCATTTTAATGTTAAAGTCGTCTGTGCAAAGTAAAGTTTCCATTCCGAAGTTTATTTTTAATAATTTTAATTTCTCATTCTTATACGTATATCTATACTAATATTATAAATATAAAGGTGTGTTTGTTTGTTTGTTTGTCCTTCTTTCACGTCGAAACGGAGTGACGGATTGGCGTGATTTTTTGTATGGAGATAGATGGGGGTCTGGAGAGTGACATAGGCTACTTTTTACCGCGGGAGATTATTTCATAGCTACGTGAAAATAGGTTATAATACAACCCAAAAAATAATTTATGATCAGAATTACTTGAAACTTAGTATCAATGCTCTTTAATACAAGCATTTTTTGAAATTTATCCCATAAGGGGGTAAAATAGGGGATGAAAGTTTGTATGAAACCTAGCTTTTTAGAGATTTTTTAGTATTAGCGCGAGCAAAGCCGTGGGTCCTGCTAGTAGTTTATATTTCCATATGACATATTTCTGAGGTTAATAACCTGAATAAATGAAAATGACATTTTCTGTTATAATTTGATATTGATGTATTGCTTGTATGTAACTTATTCGGATAGTCGATTCAAAGTTTACTGTTAGGTACTAAGCAAAGTAGTATTTTGTCTGTCTGTCTATCTATATATCTGGAAACAGATCACGAGAAAACCACTGGACGAATTTTGATGAAATTTGTTATGATGATAGCTGGTTATCCGGGTCAACATATAGGATACTTTTTACTGCGGAAAAATATCTCATCTCCGAGAAATCATTAAACTGAACGTTAAAAACGCTATAAAATTCACATAATTTATAGTAATTTCGATTATAGCAAGTGTAATTAAGCTGAAGTTGCGCTGATAGCCCATTCCTCTGCAAAAAACAAATAATGGGGAAGTTTTAATCTAACACTGTCTCGCTAACCGCAAATTATTTTCTTTTTCCATCTTTCTACATATAAAAAGAAAATAGACGTTAGAATAAAAGTATAAATTAGGTTTTACTTTCTAAATCAATCTGTTTTCATGTTAATATTCAAATAAACTAACATACATATGGTACATATACATATACACGTCCGTCTATACTAGAGATTATATATATAAAGAATAACTCCACTATAACGAGTTTTTCACAATTTTTTGCTTTGTTATTTTCTTCCAAAATCCACTAGAAATATTAGTAAGAGTGTTTAAAAACCTACTAGTATCTTTGCAAATAATTTTAATATTAGTAAACATAAAATAATTTCAGTTTAGGATCTCTCACATAATAATCTATATACATATATATAATATAAGAATCAATTGCCGTTCGTTAGTCCTACTAAAACTCAAAAACGGCTGGACTGATTTAAATAATGCTTTTTTCGTTTTGTTGGAGTATGTCAGGGGTGGTTTAAGTATAAAAAATTGGTAAAACCCAACAAAACTGCTAGAAAATCCAAAAGTTCCGAAATGTTTATTTTGTATCTATGTATTCATAATATAGGCTATATCTATTCCATACTAACTGTTAAAACGTACCTAGGGATAGACACGAGCGACGCGAGGGTGAGTCGCTAGTACTAATAATAATCAATGAATCTACTTTTAAATGAAAATTAGAAAATTAATACACATTAAAATTGGGTTTTCGTGGTGTGTTAATTTGTTGCAAATAAGATATAATATTAGTATGTTAGGTTGTAGATTTTGAGGTCCTACGGTCGATTCCCGGGTCGGACTAATTGTAATGGGGGTTTTCTCAAAAGCAGCTCAAACTTGAACGAAGTTGGTAGAGATAAACTCCCTGTATTGGAGATCATGTACATCTATCGATTTTATCGGTATTCTATCAATTATTGAATAGCTGTTGTTAAAGAGAAAGGAATAGAGTGCCTTTGTCTTAGTGTTCGTCCGCTTCTTAACACTAATCAGACCTTTAGAAATCTTTACAGGGTTATTAAATAAAGTGTACTGTAAGCTACCTCTATAAGTTTAAAACTTAGACATTCTTCCTTCTACACAAGTTAGTTAAAAGCACACAATGTATTTAATAATCCGACCACGAGCTACTTATACTTATCAAAATATTATAAAATAGAACAAGAAATTGATTGTCTTAGAAAAAAAAATATTTTAACATTGAATCAAAGAAATCATATTACTGAAGAAAAAAACACTACATTAACTCCAACAAAACTTTTTTGAGTAACAAACATACAAACACATATACAAAATTTTGCATATATATAATAATTGCGGGATTACGTAAGTATAAAAAATAAACCCATTTTTTTAATATGATGAATTTCAAAGATTTTTTTATTTACTTTCAATACCACTAGAATCTTGACTAGATCCAAAAAATGTTCATATTACTGAGGTAAGAATACACCAAACTAATTCCATTGGAACTTATTTTTATAGTAAATGGACTCACGTCCGAACTTAATGATACTTATCAGGAGATGATGAAGAGCGTCACCGCTCACACGTGTTCGTATTAATTTTGTTCGCAAAAATAAGTTTTATGGCTGTTATATTTGAACCAATATCTACTTCAATTTTAGTTTCAATTGAGTTTCTTCTATATAAGTTATGAGAGCGATTTGATAGAATATTGCTTGATACATTGATTTTTCATCATTTTTAAACGCCCATCAAGAACTCATCGAGTAATTAATACATAAGAGGTTAAAAATATTTATAATGAGATTTTTTTTTAATTAATTTTAGTTTTAATATCACCGTTTGTTTGTCTGTCTATGACGTCAAAAATCTTAGTCTCTCCATGTTTCTTATTGAGCTTGTTTTGAACGTAGTAAATATGAAAATCTAGTTTTAAAAAATTATAAATATTAGTGTTAATTTAGGAAAGTAGGAAAGTATTGTTATTGCGATTATATTTTTCAATTCAATACGAATTTAGTAATTATTTTATAACGTAGAAGTACTTCAAAATACTTGTAATTTATTTCCTCTTTAAAATATATTTGTTTTCCTGTAAATTTATATTGAGGCTTCCCTTAAGTTACAACTTATTCCTAAAAAAAAACATGAAAATCTTCAAAATTGGCGGAAAAGACCGATTAACATACACTTAAAAACATACTCTTGAGTATCTTCTCCTTTTTGAAGTTGGTAAAAAACACATGAAATGTAAAGAACTAAGTATTCCGAATACGATTATTTCAGTTTAGTCAACTTAAGGTCTAAATAATTGTTTTGTTTTTAATTTTATTATTTATAATATATTACTAAAGAAATTCAGGAAGTTGCATATGTGTTCACCCAAGCTGGGACTAAAGCATTCATTATTACGTATATGTATGTATGTATGTATTTATGTATTACATGTAACTTCCTTAACATATAGTAAATGTGCATTTATATACCAAAAAAAGCTCTAAAAATAGCTCAATTGTAAAACGCGCAGTTAGAAGTTATATATGTGTAATGCAAAGATATTAAAATTGTAATGAATTCGAAGCCGAATTACGAACTAAAATTTCACCAAAAATGTTCCTAAAGAAATACACTCAGCATAAATAAGTTAAATCTAACCTAAATATCTGCAATCCTTACCGCTGATAAGAAATATTACATATATATGGGAATGGCATAGGTACTTATTATTTATATTATTGGAATATACTGTTCGACAAAACGCTTACATACTCGTATAAATGTATTATTTATTATATGAAATTTATTTATTATTATATGAAAATTATTTTCATAAAGCTTTTAGTTTTGTAATAGCGTTAGTAATTATACAACGAAGTGTCTATCGTCCTATATACATAATATAATCGGAAAAAAATATATTCGTTCGACTATTGTGGGTTTGTGATATATCTATTTTTAACTGCATCTTCTTTATATTTTCATAAAAAAGGTCGAATGGAACTTAAAAGTCCTTATACATAAGAATTGTCTCGTTTTCTTATGACGCAGAAAAATTTTCCTAAAAAAAAGATTCTAAACCTTATTTATATTATACTTAAAAATGTATAAAACTCAATACATTGTGGTTTAAAAGAAAATTAATTTTTTACTCCGTGGGTCATACATTTTCTTTTTTTTTGCAACTAGCACCCTAATTCCTGCACCTAATACAAATTATTTTATGTTATTAAAATATAAAGAAGTGGCAGATATTCATGATAAACTGACAATAGTTGAACTATGAATAAATTAGACGACTAATAGAAAATCTAAACTAGTCTAAACCAGACCTACCAATATACACAGTACATATAAGCAAATGCAAAATATCTGCAAACAAACACGTACCTATTACGTATGAATAGCCATCTAGAGTAAGGACGCATTTCCTCAAAGCTCCGGACACCGATCTGTGTCTATGCGCCCTAGGAGCTGCGCCCAAGGCTCTACCACCACCAGGATCGCTATGGCATTTGTGCACCAATTCCTTATCATTAGCCAGGTTACTGTTACCATCTACAGACCCCTGCCGGCTGCCCTCCAACAACGCTTTGCCTCGCCGCATCATCACATCATACGCTACCTCTACAAATAAGTTCCACTATCACTTCAAAGTGTATGTCCACAGTTAGTCACTCCTGATCACTTCGTCTTTGTTTTTATGTCACAGTCATAAACACGCTAAACGTTCACTTGTTCACCGAGATTTACGTTTGTGCTGTAACACGAAACAAATTGATCTATTTTCTGCGGGACCACTGTCTGGCGTTTGGTATGTAAGTAGTAAAATAGTATGTAACATACTCGTAGCTAGATTTTTTTCTCTTATCGCTTATCATCAATGGGAATTTTATGGCACATTTCAGCATTAAATAAGTATTTAATTTAATAATTCATTAATACGAATGTTATTCTTAATCAGATTGTGCAACTTTTATGGCCTGTCGGTTAACATAGCATTTACGAGTATATACATAACAATAAAGATACTAAAGAGGCACTTGCGTATACTATTATATTTGAACTATTATATTGTATTATATTTTTTTGTAGAAACTAGCATTATTTTTTAAGGGTAATATTATTAGATAATATATGTATTATTCAAGTTTATCACCTAATATTTGCTTCATAATGCTATATCAGAACACTCATCAAGTGAAATGAAATTCCTCGGCTCAAAAATGAAGATATTACAAGGATAATAACTGTGCGTGGGATGATTGTTAATTTCACTGTCCGACTTATATTCACATGGCGCCTTAGCGGACATTTATGCAAATATTACATATTTTTTAGTATCTATCAAACTGAATTGACCTAGAAATTATGGTCAGAACATTTAATATCTACGTGACCTTAAAATAATTAGTGGAATCGCGTTTTGCTCGAGGCAATGTGTAGTTACATTGTAGAAGCTTGGTGCAATCATAACGTGTATAGCTGTATAAGTACTTAGCGAACAACAACTATGTAGTTACGCTAACAATCGCCTTTGGCGTTTGTACCGCTAATTCTGCGTAATTAACAAAGCCTTCGATATCGTATAAAAATAATTTTGCTTATAAGAAATATCTTAAAAGAAGTTTCTATATATATATAATTAAATATTTTAATGGTATTGTTATGGCGTGAAATGGGTATTTACGACATAGGTATGGAAATCTATTTTCACGGCTGTTGTTTTTCCGCCATAGTAACGTTGGGCGCTCATAAACGGTTGCGTCATGTCACAGGGATGGGGGCGCCCCCTATTAGTAAACAGATTGTGACGCTGTTGGACTAACCAAATCGCTAACAGGTGGTCCCGATAATAAAACTACAATAATTACAATCTATAAACATTGACACGTGATAGTATATCATTTTTCGTGCATATTCTATTATATTTTTTAATGGTTTTATGTTTTTTCTTACATATTGTCACAGACGCGGTTCAATTACGTTCAGACGCGGTTTAGGGCGGCATTACGCTTCCACGCGACCGTCTCGCGTGGAAGCCTGCGCGCGACTGACAATCAGACTGAGGCACATGTTTAAAGCTACAGGTAGCCTAATAAGTCTAGATTCACACTTTAAGCTAAATCACTATTTTTACATATATAAATATAAATTATTTTGCTGACTTTATAAAATATCGTCTAAGCTAATATTTACGAGTTTAACGAATATACGAGCCATATTTCTTATTCTAACATCATTGTCCAAAAAATGGAAATAAAGTCCAGATAAAATGTTAAAAACAGTTGAAAATAATGTGAAAGCCGCCTAAAATTAGTTCCTAAAGTCTAACGCCCCAGGGAACTGGCAATTGCTTAAAACCTACCGGTTTTTTCCGCTATTTCACTGACTTTGAAGGTTCCTTTTGTGACGACAAATTAATCGGAAATGGTTAAGGTCTATTTGAACGTTTTTTTTCGTATTTAGCGATCGTTATCTTAAAAAAGTTAGTTAACATGTTGATTCGATGAAATTTGTTATTTTTCATAAAATATACAGTATGATTGAGAATCTGAGAATATGATTAAAATCTGATTGAGAATTTCTTAGGAATATAATAATATAATTTTGAGCATTATGAAGCAAATATTAGGTGATAAACTTGAGTAATACGTATATTATCTAATAGTATTACCCTTAAAAAAATTTAAATAGAATGATAAGAATTCTTATTTAAAAAAAATTTAATTATGAAATCAAGGTCATATATTAATAACTACGGGTTACATAATAGAACATTAACCTACAAAATTAAGTATTAAAAGTTTGACTTATTCTATATACCCGTATTATTTAAAAATATTTATATTTAGCGTATTTATTTAGAAATACTATTTTTTTATAATAAAATATGTTTTTTATAAACTAGTTTCTTTCTTCCTCGACTTTGCCTGTATTACGATAAAATAGGTTATGTTACTCAATGATAGTATAAATATTGGTAGAAAAATATTAGAATCAGTATATGTACTTCTCGAGACTGCTATTGAGATAAAACTTCTTTGACGAGACTTTTGGCTCAGTTTGTAGTGACCCTACTTGCTGTGCCAGCGGTGCGGGTTTGAGTCTGGGGCATTCATTTGTGCAATGAGCAAAATGTACGACTCCAAAAAAAATATAAGTAAAAATGTTCCCGTATACTAATTTAATGTTGAACTGTGTCCTATTTTATTTATTTTTTCATTCAAAGCTTGAATGTTGCTTGGAAAGTTGAAATTTTGCTAATAATTCCATCTTTGCATTCATTTATAACATTAATTTTGTACATTGCAGTACTTATTACATAATTATTATTGAAAATTTGAGGGAAACATATATGAATAGAACTTACCTTACCTTATTACCTTAATTAAAAAAAGAAAATAACTGCTTATAAAGTTTTTTATTAGTAGCACTAAAGCTCGTGATTAGCTTCTAACCAAAAAAAAAAAAAGAAAACCGACGAAAACTGTTTTGTCAGTACGTTTTTTTTTAAACTAGAATTTCGACCACCATTATTTTTTATATCCATTTCAAATTGAATAAAACTAAGGACATTGAAATTGATTTAATGATGTTTTGAACGAAGTAAATAGGGACAGAATATACTTCTCAAGACAAAAAATATAACAAGGTACCTACCTACTAGTAGATATTTTATTATTATTAAGAAATTCATGCATTTTTTTATCTCATTATTTATGAAAACCAATCAAAGTATAAATTAGAAAACTGGACGTAAACAGACACGACTAATTATTCAAAGCCAAAATTAATAGAATTTAATTATGTACTAATTATCTAAATATTAATGAAAATTTTAATATTAATTAAGAACATTGTGATATCAGTGTTAGATTCGACACATCTTATCATCTTATTTTCATTATTAGACTTTGTTAAACTTATATAATTTAATATTGTCAATATACTGTACCGCACTAAATTAACTTATTTTATTACATCTGAAGGGTATCTGGGAGAAATCTCTTAAAGAGATAAGATATCCTTTGGTCACATTCTTACTTTATTTTGTACTAGCAGAACCCGTGACTTCGCTCGCATTAAATCTACAAAAAAAAACTCTTTGGCTTTATATTATACAGCGACTCGCCCTCGCTCCGGTCGAATTCATCGCTATGTATTTATATAATATATGTATATACTTCAACAATAATGAATGGAAGTCTGCCCGATTTGTTGACATTTATGATTACTGTTCCGCTCACTGGGGCAGTAGCATGATGATATTATAGCCTTTCTCAATAAAAATTATTATTGCATCAGATAGCTCATCTGATGCAATAATAATTTTTCAAATCGGATTAGTAGTTCCTGAGATTAGCGCGTTCAAACAAACACATTCTGCTTCTTTATAATATTAGTGTAGATAACATATATTTTACAGTACATAAATAAATATATTAGTATTGTAATTGTAAAGCTCCAAAATTCGTTGCAAATGACTTTGCTGACAATATTACAACCAAAATAGCAGTTTGCACTGACGAAGCATCACTCGGTTCACAGATGTTTGGCAAGCCTGGTTTCAGGCTAGCATAACTATGAGTACTACACTGTTGTATATTTGTGTATGCATAGCAAGTAGAAAGATATTTAATGTCTTTCTATAGAAATCTTCAAACTTTTTTTGAATGAGCGCACTCGTACGAACACCACAGTTTTTTTTAAACGTACCAGATGAAGAGATTAGCGCGTTCAAACAAACAAACAAAGAAACAAATTCCTCAGCTTTATATTTTAGTATAGTATACATTTACATTGATTACCAACATCCATCTTTACCATATAGATATAAAAAATATATCTTTACCACTATATACTTTACTATTACATAAGTTTTAAGATTATTTTACTTCTATATACTTGCACTGTAAATAAATATTCCGAAACACTGAACTGAGCAAATTCGTTTCCTCTGATATTATACTACTTATTATTTAATACACAAAGCTAGGATATTTTAAGATCATCTTATATTAAAACGAAGCCCTATAATAACACGAAGATTGAGAAATTGCTGGCATATTTATAACTTTATTCTAATACTAGCGACTCACCTCGCTCCGCTCGGGTTCGTCCCTAGTTACGTTTAAAACCTGGTACAGATTTCTCAGGGATGAGATATTTTCCTACAGTAAAGATTATTCTATATGTTGACCCGGATAACCAGCTATTATCATACCAAATTTCATCAAAATTTATCTAGTGGTTTTCTCGGGATGCTTTCTCAGACAGACAGACAGACAAAAAAAACCTACAAACTATAGGATTCAGCCAATGACTATTTCAATGACATTTTCCAAAAAAAAATTATGTACAAATTCGACTCAATTGTTTTTTTCTTATTTGTTTATTTGAACATGCTCTTGACCTATTTTTATCATTTTAAATCATATTTATTGAAGCTATCTAACATCATGCTACGACCCTTAGAAGAAAATCATTAAATAAATAAGTATCGCAAGCGGCGCTACGGAATATCGCTAGTAGATAACAACAATAAGGTGAGAGAGCATTAATATTCTTAAAAGATCATAACTGTAAAAACTTACTACAATAGCGCTACATATTAACTAGGGTAG